GATGTACTGGATGAACCGGTATACTGTTTTGCCGTCCTGAATTATTTTCATATACCAGTGAATAGGAAACAACTGCTGTAACTCATTTGTTTCTTACTTGTGCAACAGAATTTTTTTATATAAGTTAGTTTATAGTGTTTATAAAACTATTTTATAATACTACTACTTTAAAAAAAAAAGAAGCAATGTTGAAGTTTTTCACATAAGTTCTGTTTTTACTGCATTGCAGTTTGTACAATAATAAAATTGTCAAAAAAATCTCATTCTAAAGTAACAAAATCACAACTATTATAATGAAAACATACTTATGAATATTATATTCCATTTCTACCAGTAGATCCCCCAAAATATACACACTGGTCCTTTAAATCCTCTTTGAGTAAATGTTGTAAGACAATAAAAAGATGAAAACTTCCAAGAGTCAATACTTTTTATAGGAACTGTGTGAGACAGACATGAACAAACTACACACGGAAACAAACTGCAAGATAAGTGTCATATTAAGGTTTCTGGCCTCCAGAACACAAATACAAGTCTCTGAAACTACTGGAGGGAAGAACACTATTCCTCATACCTATCAAACCATTCAATTACTATTGGTTCCCTCTATTCCAGACTGTGTTTATCATTTTTCTTCGCTCATATTAATCACCTGTCTGTATGTATTGTAGGCCTGTGTGTGAACTAACTCACCTTACTGACACCTTTGTACACTTCTGTTACCCTCGGGTCCAGCTGGGGCATTGGACACCCTGACACCTCTGACATCACGGTTCCCACCTCAGTCTGCTTCTCTGTAATCTTCTCCATGATGATATCGGCTAAAGTGCGTCTGCAAGAACACAAACACAAGCTTAGATAAATCATGCTAATGGTGCGTGTCATTCAAATTCAATGTCTAGTTACAAGATAACGTCAGTGTTTATGTTGCATCTTGCCTCATTGGAGGGTTTTTATTCATGAACATCTCAATGGCCTTCTCGTCGTCAGCGTCAACAACAACTTCAGTCTCACACTCAGCATCGCCGTCACCAGCGCCAGCCTCTCCCAGCGCCGGCCACTCCTCGTCTGAGTCTGCATCCTGAGCATCAGGCCCTAAAATATGAAGTTAAAGATGATCAATTAGATAGTCACATTTTCACTGTACTGTTAAAGAGGTACACTTCATAGTCAGGTGATGTTCCTTCATTGAGTTCAGAACCATCTGAAGGAGCTTTACACTATTAGACATATTCAACATGTACAATAGATGGGTGTGATTTTTAATTCTGTGTATTACTTTTATGTCAGTTCCCTTCATCACTTCCATATGTTATTATCATGTTCAATAAGTACAGCATAATTAATGGCAAACATGTAAGGATGTGGACTTTCCCATGAAGTAAAGCCTCAGTAAGTGCGCCATAATGGACACTTACAGTAGTCACACCAGACTCTATTCAAATAAATGTCAATTTTTACTGTAAAACATTACCGAGGACAGTGACAGGTGCTTTCTTCGTCTCTGGTGCCAGTCCATATTCAGTCTGGAGCTCCTCTTGTTGAATTCGGGCCTGTTGTAAGATCTTCCGCGACAGACGCTCGTCTACGTACGTGTCCTCGTCTTCAGGCCGGCTGTCCCTGCTCTTCACCCGGCCTCGGCCTCGCACTGTGTCCGCCTGTAGGATCTGGTCCGCCAGCGCCACCGCCGCCGCGCTCCTCTCTCCTCCTCCGCCTTTGGGTTTCTTCACCTTCGGCATCACTGTGGTGTGACAGAAGACCCAGCTACAGTGTTTTGTATATTTTATAACTTAAAGTCAGGAGTTAACTGTAAACAGTCGCTGGTTCAACACGTGCGGCCGTCCATAGCAGGAGGAAGTGACGTACATTTACGCAACGTAACAAACGCCCTCAGAGTAACAGTGATTGTAATGTTAGCTGTTTTTGTTGGCACTAACCTGTATTATTATCGACTATATATAAATATCTAACATAGTGAATTATTAAAAAATGTCTCTTGGCTGTTTAAAATCTTAAATACTTTACCGGAAGACTCACCTTTAACCCGGAAGTACTCAACGGACAGCCAAGAAAACAATTGCAGGCGAAGCATCAATGGGGGTCACTTGGTGAGATAATTACTTTATAGTTTTATTTATTACTTAAAGTGTAGATAATATCTGGAACATTGTGTATTTAATTTACGTACCGTTTCATTTCAACGTTTGTATCACAACACGGAGCAGCTCTCAAATCCTTACATGCTCTTAACGAACCAAAGTGTGTGTGTGTGTGT